TGTGTGTGTGTGTGTGTGTGTGTGTGTGTGTGTGTGTGTGTGTGTGTATGTGTGTGTGTGTAATACAGTGTGGCCTACCCAGTAAACCTTCTACTACCAATAACAATAATATTATCTCTAAAAATCCTGTTTAAACTTTTATAAACATCCCCATTGCTATTTCCTAAGCTGCTTTGTTGAACCAGGAATCTAACTAAGCATAAAATTGCAATTTGTTTTTAATATATGAATGAAGTCTTTTTCATCTAAAGCAGAGACACCTATCTCTTGGGCATTTTTGTGTGTGACACTAACTCATTAATTAAGGCATCACCGCATTTTGAGCAATAGAAGACTCTTTATCACTCAAAAATTAATACAGATGTAAAACAGATTTTATAAATTGACCTCAGATTCATTATGTAGCTGAGATTGACACAGACCATCTATCCTCCTGTTTCTACCTCCTGAGTCTCAGAACGAGAAGCCTGCAACACTGGCTGGGTTTATCCAGTACTGTGGCTGAAATGCCCTCATCTGCCTGTGCAACATAAAGTATAGGGCTGGGTAGGATAATTTTGACACACATGAAGCTAGAGGTTCACATCTAGAGGTATACATCGAAATAGCATATTTTAGTCCACTGATAAGGGAAGACCTGCTCCCCTTCTATCTGGCTCTAGCCTATCAGGTCTCAGCAGGGCTGGCTGCATCATCTTTCTCTATGGCCTGGAAAGGTTGCCCCCATCCAGGAGGAGGTGATCAAAGAGCCAACTGGCCAATGAGTTCATGTCAGAAACAGGCCCTGATCCCCTGACTAGGGAAGAAGAGGGAGAGTGGGTGGGACTAGGAGGAGACGAAGGAGGGGGCTACAGAGGAAATAAAAAGTGAATAAATTGTAATAAATAAATACATATTTTTAAAACCCTGTCATTTAAAAAATAGCATATTCTCAAAGATTTCTCTGAAATGTTAGCACCTGCTCTGGGCACTCTAAAAAAGAACTAAAATAAGAAGTGACTTCAGTAGATTATCCCAACAGAAATTCTAACTTAGTAAAAATCTATTATCCTTAAAGACTTTTGTGTGTTCCAAGAAAGTGTTATACTTTCCCAAGTGCTAAACAAATGCAGACATGCTGTCCCTTGAGGGGACATTCTGGCGTTTCTCAAGAAAAAGGAAAATCCCTTCAGCAGAATTCGGATTCCATTGACCAACTTGGTCAGCTCACTCGGGAAACTCCAACTCCAAAATACCCTCTCTCCCTGGCAAATTTCATAAAATTGCTATGAAAGGAAACTTGATATACATTGTAACCAACATTGAGGGGAGGCCTGGAGTATGGGCATTTGCAAAGTGAGTAACGGTTCTACCACAACGAGGAAGGGACTGCAGGTCAGAGACCATGTGAAAGAGAGACCTGAGAACCCGTAAGGAGAGTGTGAAGAGTCACACTGTCTGTCTCAAGGTATCCTCACTCCTTCGCATCAGGACAAAGGAGCAGTATGGAGTCAGGGAAACAGTCCATGGCTCGTGGAATTCCTTAAACGAAGAGGAAATAAAGGATAAGCAGACATGATGGCAGACCTCCCCAGCTCTTGGGAAGCTGTGGCAAAGAGGCACAGAGCTCAAGGCCAGCTGGGGATAACTAAAGAAACTTTGCCTTAAAAAAAATGAGCGCTAGTTGGAAACTGAAACAAAAGTAGCACACCCATACAAATACATATATGCAGCACGTTCATACAAGCAGACACATGCCCTGCACACTAAGTAAATAAATGCACTTCCTCAGTTGCAATGGTCGCATTTCAAAAGGCAGTTAGCAGGCAGTGGCCTCCATACTGGACAGAGCAGAAAACATCGCAGAAAGCTAGATAGCACTGAAAGATGAAAAGACAAGGAAAGAAGCAAAGGGAGAGGAATGGAGACGTAAACTGCCGTCCTCCCCGCATAGCTTGATGTAGCTAATTCTCCTGCTGAGATGCTCACTGCTCCACAAGACTGGGACCTGCCCTAACTCAGAAAGCTGTTAGATAAGATGCTGTCCCCCAAACCATCTGGTTGGTTGGGATTGTTGGAACAGGGCCTTGAGTTAGGGAGGAGCCAGGGATGGGCTCAGGGAAAGGTAATTCAATGGATGAAGAAGGGCCATGCACTCCCTGGCAGCAAGCCCAGAATTCCAGATGGATAAGACATGCCCTTGTCACTGCCAGCCTACAAGAGGCGGTCCGCCTGTCTTTGGTGTCATTCCTGGTTACATGATCCACCTACTAAGGCATTGTTCAAACTGAGCCATAGATGGACACTCAGGTTCTCATTTACTAATGAGGAATTTGGTCTGTTCCTCTCTTTAGTTTGTTTGTTCACACCAGTCAATTCCTACCAAGCAAATTGGTTTATTCACACCACTCAATTCCTGATCACTGCAAACACAGGAGTCCCTTTTCTACGCCTCTGCGTGCTACAGTGAGTCATATGACATTTCAAACCACTGTCAAGTAACTATTGCCACACGCCAATAGCAAAATGACAACATTCCATGGACTGGTCCCCAGAGAGATCTTTCACTTCTGGGACAAGTTTGGCATTCTCCGACAATAATCTACATGTTCTCACACAGGCCTTGCTTCCATAACAAACAGTGCCATAACAGATCCTGAGGATGTCCAGCTCCAACAGGGTTCCTGATACAGTACTTCAGAGAAGAGTCTTTGAAAGCTGCTGTGTTGGGGTCAGCGTCAAGCTCGCCTCCAGCTCCTGCAGCTCTGCGTGTGTGGGCAGCCGTGCCCCATGTTCTAATTGGCTCAGTGTGCAGTCTTGGCCCTGAGCTTGGGAATCGTCACTGACTTTTAACCCACCTCACTGGACGTGTACCTTCTGCTTGCTCATTAGTATTTCAGCACTGGACGTCAACAGGTTTTAATTGGAGGCTGTGGCTCTTTCCTTTGAATCTACCTTGGTGAATTTTTCAAGATTTATTTTAATGCGTTTTGAAAGGACAGACTCTTAAGGTGGAGAAAGTTAAAGAGGAAGAAAAGAAGGTCCATAGAGAGGAAAGGGGGGGGGGATTCCCTGGACTTAAGGCACTTAAAAGGAAATAGAAATTACACAGAGAACCCAATGATCGTAAGGGTTATGCCTTGTTTGTTCGGTTATGCTTCAAAATATCCTCACCCGTCATTAGCAATTTTAAATCTTAACAACCTTGGAAACAGCTGTATCTTTCTTAACATCTACTAAAATGAAAAGCTTATAATTTTCTACCATGACCTGAGGGTTTGGCTCAACATAAGCTGTACAAGCCTGTGAATGATATGGACACTCCAAATATACTAGTCTTATTAATCTGATGAGCCGAGAACTTCTGAGCAGCTGAGAAGCCCTGAGCCTGAGCAGGAGCCCCCATGCTTTGGCCATTTTAACTGTCTGTCACCAAAAGCCTTCAGTCGGAGAGAGGCATGTCCCACCCCCATGGAGACAGCTCTTCAGCTGGCAGAAGGGTGTGTCCCTGAGCTTTTACCTGGGAGCAATGATGATCTTGTCAAGCATTTCACTGAGACCAGCCCAAGTTTTTAGGGTGGGGATCCAGACTGGTTATACGTACCTTCCCTCCTTCTCCCAGTGGAAGGCAGAAACACCTCAAAGCCTGCATGTAAGAACATCTACTGGGAAATTATTTTAATCAGACACCAGCTGAGTGGGAGAAAGCAAAAGAGCAGAGAAGAACAAACAAATCTCCTCGGCCGTGGATGTAACAGAAGCCAGCAGCAGCGATGGACTGGCCCTCTTTCAGAATAGCTGCAGTGCTGCTCATTTTTCTGGTAAGTGGATTGTGCGAAAAAGCCATCCTTCAACCCCCAGCCTCCGCATAAGCAAGCAAGGACTTTTCAGAGAATGTTATTTACCGGCCCTTCTATGTGAAACCATTAAAAGTTTATGTTAATGACAGGTGGCTTTTATGAACTGGGATTTTAAGTAGTGTTTCTCTCTTTAATTGAAGACTCCAGAGCATATTAATGTCCCAGTGTCCACTCATCATATCACGTCTCTGATATCCCAGACATTGGTTGGTTGCTCAGAAAATACTGAATTTGAGAAAGTCCTAAAGCTGCAGTATTTGCTCGTTCAAATTCTCATTGGCAGGGATGAGGCTTTTCAGCTAGGTATTCCAGGTGTGTCTGGGTTTTCAATCTAAACTTTTCTCCCCGTCTCTAGGTATTTTGATTGACAGACTGACAGTAGGTTTCAAAGCTGGATTTGAAACATACTGGACAGGACAGGATTTATAGACACTAGGATTGCGATTGTCTACGACAAGCCTCACAGCCCCTTCCCTTCCTGATGTCGGAATCCCTCCTACTGACAACCAAAAGCTCTCTGCTCTTTAGAACTTGAATGAAAATGTCACTGCTAATTTCAAAAACTGCAAGTCCAGGAGATTTATATAAATAATACAGCAGGTGAGGGAATGAGCATAATTGAGGAGTAAGTGTAATTGCTGCTGTCTGTCCTTGTCCTCCAGTAAAGATGTGGCACAGAAGTTGTACCTCTGATAGTCAAACCACGCAGTACGATGATTTACTGTCATCCCCTGACAGGTCATTCATTTTCTCTTAGAGTTGATAAATGTGCCACACCAACATATCAATTTCATGCTCAGGAAAGAAAGTTTTAAAGTCATAGTCTCTGTCCAACTAGGATAAAGGTAATTTCAAAAGGCAAGTGTTAGGTAAGTTCCCCTCCAGCTTTGGCAGGATCTGGCTCTTATTTGTTTTTACTTGTTTAATTTTTGAACTGGAATGTTGAATTAGTATTGCAGCAAGTTAAGAGTTTGGATTAACTATATGCTAGCTAATTTTGATTCAGTTTATTTATTAAGAGAGGACATAGGGCTGGAGATGTTGTTTAATGATGAAACATTTGCCTAGCAAGCGTGAGGCCCTGGGTGCAATTCTCAGGAGTAAATGATAAATGGGCAGGGAGGTCATGAATGATAATGTTTAGCTATAAGTAGCATCTCAGTAGCATCTAAGCCTACTTTTCAAATGTGACGTTTGTTTCATACCCTTCTTAATTGATTTTTAAGTTCAATTGATGTCACAACCTGGGTTACGGCGAAAATGAATGAGTGTTACAGCATGTTATTTTACCACAGGAATACCTGTGTATTGCTAAATAATCAAATACTTTAATTTTTAATTTCATATAAATTTGACTCATTAAGGCTGATTGTAGTGTTTCCATCCATTAAGGGTGTTTCAGCACCTGTGTCCTAACTTTCCTTGAATTTATAAACAACTCTTTGTCTCTAGGTTTATGTAATTTTTTTCCTAGTTAATTGCATTTTACAGAATTCCTCCAAACGGCTATTTCTTGGTTAGTGACTTGTCAATAAAATATATAATTTTATCAAAGTCCTCTTGGAACTGTCTGCCTATAGACAGGGTTTTCTGGAAATGTGTACTTTATTCTCTAAGCTTGGAAAGAGACAGACAGACAGAGAAAATTAGTTTGGAGAAGAGAGGGTGTCTGTGACCATATTTATTGCAAAATCTAACACAAGTTTCTCAGATGCCTTATGTATTTTATTTTTGTGTTCACGTGTGTGTGTGTGTGTGTGTGTGTGTATATATGTGTGTGTGTGTGAATGTATGCCACAAGTGTGCGGATGCCCAGGATGTTCAGGCGGTGGTGTGTCAACCAATGCGGGAGCTGAGAACCGAAATCAGGTCCTATGGAAGAGCAGTGTGAGCTCTTTGCCACTGCGCCATCTCTCCAGCCCATCTTTAGAAACTTTTACTGTAATGAATTAAAATGCTTCATTTTCAGGTCAACACAACTTTTTGGTAAAAATGTTTCACTTTTGAAGGCTTTAAGGCTAGCAGATGATGTTGCAACCACATTCTTTGGCCCCTAACCTCCGTGAGGTTATTTTTCTTTACCAAAGGAAAAGGTGTAAAACAAAACAAAGTCAATAAATGAAAATCCACATTAAGAATATATCTGAAAAAGACAAATATATTTTAGATGTCTCCATTGATCATATTTTCACATAAAGCTATTTAGAGAGCTGAGCAAATATGTGTTGGTCGAATAGACATGACCTGCTCAGACACACAGAAGTGGATGTTTAAAGCCATCCCCCCAAATTAGTAAGTTAGATCAGAGACTACAGCAGAGAAGTTACTTCTAAAGGGGCCAAAGTTGCTGCATGAGCTTTCAGTTAACTCAGAATCCTCCTGGCTATGTCTCTGCTGTTCACACCTGTTACAGCACCACAAGCAAAAGGCGTGAACAAACTCTTCCTCCTCCTTTTTCTCTTCCTCATCCTCTTCCCTATCTTCTTCCTCCTTTTTATCCTCTTCCTCCTCTTCTTCCCTTTTCTCATCCTCTTCCTCCTCTTCCTTCTCTTATCTGTCTATCATCTATCTATCTATCTATCTATCTATCTATCTATCTATCTATCTATCTA